CAAAGTATAATTTTTTTAATATGATGAAGGATATAAGACAATTAATAGTCACAGTTCCAAGCATTACTCTTGGTTGGAAGATCAAAAATCTTTTAATCTGTGTCTTATTATAACAAAAATGGTTTTAAATTGTAAAAAAGTGACATTTACCTTTTCCAATTGAGCGTTTTTTTTGGATTTGTATAAAAACTCTCCCACTGCCACAAAAACTGAGAGCACTAAGCCGGCTGCCAGAACAATGAAGATGCCACCGATATTCTGAACCCCTAGGGCACTGGCCTCTTTGCTCTCCTCCTCTGGGCAACCATTGCCCCTCCACCACTTCTCCTTCATCATATGCAGCTTGCCTTCCTCTTGCAGCTGAAGAATTGCTATGGTGATTTTGTCTCGATACGGAGAACCTAAGAAAAAAGAGAGCACGTTAACTACTGTACAGAACCCAGAATTTCATAGTGAAAGGTTACTAAGATGAGAGAAGGGTAGAAATTTTTCCAAATGCTCCAAAGGATGCCAATAGTCATGTTCAGAGGAGAAAACCAACTAGAAAATGACAAAGAATGGAAGTTTAACAAGATAAAGTGGATAACCTTTCTATTAATAGATTTTAAAGGATTAAACGAATTTTTTTTTTTAAGAAAGAAAAAGACTCGTAAAATGCAGATTCAGCTCAGAGTATTGAAAAATAAGTAAAACAATAAGCAGGAATCCATAAAAGGAAATGGATAGAGGGCAAGATGTTTAGTTCATGTCTAGGAATCATTCCATACCAAAACCAGAGTATCGTTAGAGCAGTAATCTCTATTTTTAGAAAAGCTGTGAAAAAATGGTGTTTCCCAAGAGTAAATGCAGTAATTTAAGGCAATCATGATTAATAAGCTATATTTGATGGGACTTAATACTTTGCAGGTAATAGACAGTCATTCATATTTGTTATTTGATGTGAATAAAAAATCACAAGTTGTATAGACTTAGATAATTCAAAAATCAATATACCTATATTATTTATAAATTGAGGGCCCTATGGTATGACATTGTAAGTTGTTTTGGTTATTTCTTTATCATTTTATGCTTTGGAGGGAAATGTTGTTGTTAGTGGTGGCAACAATATAAATAAAATTTAGTATTTATGCTGATAGGGATGGATACTCATCTGCATTAGATCTTACATGATAAGTAATATCTTGATAATTTGTTGCCCGGAAACATAGAAAAATATAGAAATGCATATGACTTTTAAAATCTGTCTCAAAGGATTGGTCTTATTGCTTTCTACCACCTAGAAATAGCCTGCTTCTAAAGTCTAATGTTCTTCCTAAGACCTTACACCACACATTCCATTTTGGTGTACAAATTCACTCATACTGTTTTTCTGCTTGCAGAAAATACTAAAAATTTCAGCTTTTATTCAATGTTGCCCATTATTTTGTTTTGATTTAAATATATCTGCAATCTACACACCTCTTTTAGCAAGTGTAGGCAAGGTACAAGTAGAAAGACAAGGAGCATCACAGGGAGTAAGTACCCTGTTGAAAAGTTGGAGAAGTGAACATCTACCAAACCCAACTACAGAGCAGTTTCTTTAACATAATCCTTTACCTTTTCAGAAGTTGTAGAAGTATATGGCTTCTATACATTTTCCACAGCTTTCCTAAAAAGGGGCATCACCTATGCCTATAATTAGAACTCAAATATTTTATATTCATTATGCAGTAATTCCTAAGTATACGAGGGAAATTTCTACTTCTCAGTTTCTTCCCTGTGCTCTCTTTTAACTACTACTCTAATGCCAATGCTTGATGTTAATTCTGCACCTCAGCCACTTCAGATCTCAATATAGTAACCCAGCCCAAACTAAATACTTTCTACTTTGATCACTCATTCACTGGACGTGCAACCTACTTCACCTAATATTATTATTTACCTGTCTACATGTGATCAATTTTCCTAAATAGATTACAAGCTCTTTCAAATAGAGGATAATTATCTGTCTTCCTATCTATCTGCCTATCCATCTATCTGTCCACCCACCTATCTATCTATCTAAATTCTCAATCATTTTTCACATAATAGGCTCTCAACAAATGTTTGCATATTCTGAGGCATATAATAACTGACTGAAGGCATTTTTATCATAATGTAAAAGCAACACCCTGGTGCTTTGGATCTCTATGGTATGTAATAAAACACCATAACTAAGACCATCTTATCTGGCTATTCAGTATTTATTAATTCACTACATCTATCCTATCACCACCTGCAGAATCACTTTTACTCTGAATAACAATTCTGATCAACCATATATTTTCCCTGCAAAATAAATATTTAATTGAGAGGGGGAAAAACTCTATTTTAATCAGAATGGTAGTTTACCGAATACATCTTTCAAGTGGAAACATAGAATCTGATATAAATCTTGTGCTGATAGTCCTTGTGAAAATGGCCATACTTGGCTATCATAAAGATGTAGTTTCTTTTTTGGAAGTATAATTATAAGCAAGATTTTTGAAAGGTAGTCACCTAGAAAGTTTCTTTCAAATGTAGAAAATTCTTAATCCAGTATTTTATGCCAATTCATTTCTCATTCTGAGAACTATTGAAAGAATATGATTTTATTGCCAACTCACCATACTCACTGAAGTGCACTGGGATGTTTATTCTATTATCTTCAAGCACAATATTCTCCATTACATTCTCAAGAACAAAACAAGGCACAAACAACAGAAACCTGCTTTTCAGCAAAGTATGGACACCTCTCGATTTCTTGCCACCTGAACTTCCTCTTTCCAGCATTGATTGTGAATATAAAATTTTCCCATTGCTACTAAACCTCGGAACACTTGTTTTCCTGAACATAATAATGTACAATTTATATTTGGTTTAAATCAAGCCTACAAAGTTAATATGCCTCATTTTGAGGTTTTAATATGATGAAAAAATATAGGGAATATAATCAATGGCAGTAAGTCATTGATATGTTTGCTTTGCCATTCTATCATTGATTTAGTTCAAGTGTTTTAAAAGGAACAATAATTCAACAATGAATTATTACTTCTTTGATTCATAGCTTGATGCACCTTAGGAAGCATTTCTACACAGATGGTAGTTGAAATAAAATGTGGATTGAAATTTTATCTAGTTGAAAAATCTCAAGGACACAATGAGATCAAAAAACAAAAGTATTTTTCATCTTCCTTGTGACATGAACAGCCATGCACTTAGCTCTAATGAAGTGAATAGTCATTAATTAGATAGACAGAGCCCATCTCCAGCCTCAGTCCTTATGCTGGCAAGCAAAGAACTGGTGGCATTGAATGTCAACTGTGAGAAGCCGAGTATTCACACTGTAAGGTTGCCTCCCAGAAAGAAGTGTATTTTTAAGAAGTCTCTAAGTTTGATCAGAAAACAACTGAGAAAATTATAATTATATCAATTATAACA